CGGTGGACTGTATATGCGCAGTTAGTTATAACTAAAACAAAATGGCGAAGGTAGCACGTGATCGGGTTTGGACAATGCACTTTCTATGATTCAATTTGCTCAATTTAGCCGGTACCTTTATACAGGCATAAAACATGAGCTGCCAGGAAAAAGACACAATAAATGAAGAAAAAAACAGCTTATATATATATATATATATATATATATATATATATATATATATATATATATATATATATATATATATATATATATATATATATATATGTATATATATATAGTAAGTGCTTTCCTGTATATATAAATATATATATATATACAGGAAAGCACTTACTGGGGTGGGGTCTTCTGACTGCCTTCTTTGGGTGAGTCTTAGGCCTCGAGGTTGATCGAGGTTTTCATTGAATGCAAAAATGAAGCCACATATCCTAGCCTCCTCAACCCCCCCCTCAGTGCGTTCGGAAGGGAAAACGGATGGGATGGGAGAATGTAACGGCTAATTACTAGCTGCCACAACAAAAATGGGAGGGTATTCGTTTTCTGCACAACCATTCTCCTTGGCTTGAAGGGTTTCCCCCCCGAACGGGTTCCCGCCTTGTCGTGGCGGGGGGCTTAGAAGCCGTGGCTTGGTCTCCCACGGCGAAACAAAGAGGAACCCATATGGCTGGTCCGAGGTGGAGGGCCGGCCCGAGGTGGCCACTCCGAGTGGGCTTGGGAAGCCCACTTCGGATGTGTGTTGGTGGACTGCGGTGAGAGGTGTGTCCTCCCCACCTACCGCTGCAGCCGAGGTGGAGTCGCGGAGGAAGAGGAGTGTTGGTATGGCGATGCGCCACTCGCCCTATCCTCCGCGACTCAAACGGGGCCGCACCGTTGATGCGGTGGTGATGGGGCTGCGGGGGGAGAGGATTGTCAGTATTGCGAGGCGCCGCTCTCCCTATCCTCCGCAGCCGAATCTTGGTTGGCGGCGGAGCCATAGACCAGATCCGCCGCTGGGGTCGGGAAGGCTAGTACTTCTAAGTGCTCGTTTTACCTGGCCCCATGGCCTTCGCGCATCGGACGCGGGGGGCGTCTGTTGCGCAGATGTAATTGGAGGCCGTGAAGGAAGGCGTGCCATGTGTTCTGGTGCGCCTTACTTGGGAAGGAGAACGGGAAGGAATATTCCTCTCTCGATGAGGTGCTGCCATGGGGCGGCAGTCGCTGGTGGGGCCGCGGATGTGTGCGAAAGCGTTCCCGTAGCCCTGCCAATATGCGACGAAGGTGGAACACCATGGGGTTTTAGTCGGTGCGAGTCCGACATAACCCGTCCTTGCCCCCGCGAGGCGAGTATGCATAGGCATTTCCCCATGTTAAAAAAAAAGGCCTCGAGGTTGATCGAGGTTTTCATTGAATGCAAAAATGAAGCCACATATCCTAGCCTCCTCAACCCCCCCCCCCTCAGTGCGTTCGGAAGGGAAAACGGATGGGATGGGAGAATGTACCGGCTAATTACTAGCTGCCACAACAAAAATGGGAGGGTATTCGTTTTCTGCACAACCATTCTCCTTGACTTGAAGGGTTCCCTACAAACTAAATAAAGTCAATACTAAGACCTAGCTTTAGTTACTAACATAACCTAGAAATACATTTCGAAAACCATTGGTCAAGAAAAGGACAGAGATGGACAAGAGGACGCATATATGACCCAGTTGCGGTCTTAACACGAGCTATCCTCGTTATTCCGTCGGATCCAGGAAAATCCTCTACAATGATCCCTAATGGCCAATGAAGAGTCGGCGCGTTCTCTTTGGTGAGAATAACTATAGCTCCGACCGTTATTGGTTTAATTGCCGTGTACCATCTCTGCTGAGATTGCAACGTATGCAGATGTTCCGTTCTCCATCGCTTCCAAAATGACTACACGAGCCTATCTAACAGGTTATGACGTGAAAGAACATGGAGTTTATCAATGTCTGTATCTATAGCGAGTAAATACTTTAAAAAATGTGCTGGATTTAGACCCAGCGGCTCCGAGGGGTCACTCGAAAACCTACGACAAAGGAAGACTGCTGTTCATAACGCACTCAATTTGTGGGAGTACAGTTAATTCTTCAAAGATAAAATTTGATCTCCAATTACGCGATGTAAATGACTCTTTAGACTTTACTTAGTCTCTCGATTCCCCCCAAAATGACTTGCGGCGGGGATGTTTAGAGACCACTCGATGCAGTTCTCAGTTTAGATGTGAGCGAACTCCGAAATATAATATTTAGAGGATAAAAACTCGTGTAACTCTGATAAAATACGTTTTGCTCCTTCGTAGTTTGTACCATTATTCGAATACACTTTACTTATAAGGCATTACGCGTCCAGGGATTTGATTTTTGAACTTCCCTGTTCAAAAATCAAATCCCTGGATGCGATTTTTTTATGATTTTGACGCTGGCTTTCCACTATGGTATATAATATATATTATATCCCGAAATATAAATTATATCCCACGACTGGCCTTCACACTGTGAGATATATCTTTTAACCAGCGTGCGTTCGTCATTGGACGATCTGAGGACGTAGCGGAAGCGCGGAAGGGTGTGCGGGGTACAGGAGGTGAAACATAATATGAAAATATCGCTCGGTCGATCGAAAAAATATTTATAGTTTGGGATGTAATATATATTGTATCTCAGTGGAAACGGTTCCATTTAAAAGTACGGTGAGCGATATTAAAAATAATTTTTATCTTGAGATGTAATATAAATTATATTATATCCCATAGTGGAAAGTTGGCTTAAAAGTATGGATATTGTATTTTTTTATTTAACTGGTTTTACGGCTCTGGGTTTTAGCCTTTCTGAGCATATAATATCTTTCGGAATCTTTATTTTTATATATTTTTTCTTCACAATATGCCGATGCGTCACATTGCGAAGATTTTGACGACAGATCAACAGCTTCATGCTCCATGTAAAACAATATCCATACGGTTTTTCCGCGGGAACTTGGCCGTCGCCGGATTGTCGCTCCTATTTTGTCGCTTCAATAATGGTTTGAAGTGGATTTTGATTCATAAAAGTGATGCGATTTTGTAAATTAAGTGTCTGCGCGTGTGAATGATTAGAGAAAACGACGAAACAAGTGCTTTGATATTGATACAAACCTCAAGTTATTTTGATCGCTTGGGCGCCTTATGAATTTGAGTGGCTGTCGTCATCAACTGTTCGCTGGGTTAAACTGTCATCAAAATCTCCCAAAAACCTTTCAATGTGACGCATCAGCATAATGTGAAGAAAAAATATATAAAAATGAAGATTCCGAAGGAAATTGATATTTTTCTTTTCTTGGCAAACGCTTACTTTGACATATGGCCTTCTTCATAAGAGTATATGAAAACTAACATTAGATTGCTCAGGGTTTTGTGTCTACTGGAACTTTCGTAGTCCAGGGTACTGCCTGCTTTATTGTAATCAGAAGTCCAGTTAATAACGGTGGGTTTTGTTTCCCTTAAAAAAATGTATCATATATTTTACATGTTTAATTGTGTTATTTTTAGATCTCAAGATTGGAAAGAGTATGTGCTGCTTGCTGGAGATCAGCTACAAGAGAAGTGCAACGTCGTGATGAGCACAACTCCAATCGCCCTAGTTTGGCAGAAGCTATTTTGCCTAGCGTTCTCAATATTCCTGAACCGCCCCCTCTTCCACAACAAAACCTACACACTACTCATGTTAGATCAAATCCAATAATTAGATCTTCTGTGTATAAGCGTGCTGCTAGCACATCCTATCACTGTATATTTGTTAATTGTTTTGAAACAGAACATTTATTAGTACCCTCATCTGTAAAGGCTCTTTTATTACTTAATAATAAATTCTATGTGCCACCAGCAGCACGAATCTGTCGTCACCACCTGGATAATGTCTGTAAAGATATTTCTTCTATAAATAGAATAATACCAGAAGGATTATTTGGTAATCCTGATTTGCCACCTGATTCTAAACCAGCAATAGTCATATGTGATGCTACTTATGTATTTATCCAAAGTTGTTCTAATTACTTATTTCAAAAAGAAACATACAGTTTGTAAAAATCGGATAATTTGGTCAAACCATTTATGATACTGTGTTGTGATGGTCATATTGTGGGTTGTCTCGGACCATACACGGCGACAACGAATGATGCTAGAATTACAAGTTTAAACTTACGTAATGACGAAGCTTCTTTAAAATCATTATTTTTTCCGAAGAGGTGACGTTTTCTTACTTGATACAGGATTAATGAAGGGTTGGCAACTCTAATAAATCTCGTGTCACCTTGGAACGCTTAATGAATAAGGCCAGAACACAAGCAATTTAAGCTTACCACAAGTGGTTAAGGGAAATATTAGTAATGTTTATAGCATTGTTAATATTATTAAAAAAAAATGTCTTTAATTAATGAGTTTGTTCTACTGTATTTAGAATTTAATCATGTGACTGTTGAAGATGTTTCTTCTATAAATAGAATAACACCAGAAGGATTATTTGGTAATCCTGATTTGCCACCTAATTCTAAACCAGCAATAGTCATATGTGATGCTACTTTGTATTTATCCAAAGTAGTTCTAATTACTTATTTCAATAAGAAACATACAGTTTGTAAAAATTGGATAATTTGGTCAAACCATTTATGATACTGTGTTGTGATGGTCATATTGTGGGTTGTCTCGGACCATACACGGCGACAACGAATGATGCTACAATTACAAGTTTAAACTTACGTAATGAGGAAGCTTCTTTAAAATCATTATTTTTTCCGAAGAGGTGACGTTTTCATACTTGATAGAGGATTAATGAAAGGTTGGCAACTCTAATAAATCTCGTGTCACCTTGGAACGCTTAATGAATAAGGCCAGAACACAAGCAATTTAAGCTTACCACAAGTGGTTAAGGGAAATATTAGTAATGTTTATAGCATTGTTAATATTATTAAAAAAAAGAATGTCTTTAATTAATGAGTTTGTTCCACTGTATTTAGAATTTAATCATATGACTGTTGAAGATGTTGCTTCTATAAATAGAATAATACCAGAAGGATTATTTGGTAATCCTGATTTGCCACCTAATTCTAAACCAGCAATAGTCATATGTGATGCTACTTTGTATTTATCCAAAGTAGTTCTAATTACTTATTTCGAAAAAGAAACATACAGTTTGTAAAAATTGGATAATTTGGTCAAACCATTTATGATACTGTGTTGTGATGGTCATATTGTGGGTTGTCTCGGACCATACAAGACGACAACTAATGATGCTACAATTACAAGTTTAAACTTACGTAATGCTTCTTTAAAATCATTATTTTTTCCGAAGAGGTGACGTTTTCATACTTAATAGAGGATTTGGGGATGTAATTAATGAACCCTAGGGATATGGCTTTGTAACGCATATGCCAGAGTCTCTACTTGAGAATGAACATCAATTAACAACCCAGCAGGTAAATCGGTATTGTTTTGCTACTATGTACCGCTGGGTTGTAGAAGTGGTTAATGGTAGGATGAAAAGTGATTTTAGACTCTTTCATCATGTTTTCAACCAAAGAGCGGCTTTGCACGTAAAGGATGATTTTAGAATCTCATGTGCCTTAATTAATACGTTTCATGTTGTTATAGAATACCCACCAGAAGCCTTGGAATATGTAAGAATTGCTAAAGAAAGGCTTCCACTCGAGAATGATTTGGCAACTTATGTTGAACAGGCAAATCTCAATAGGAGTGCGAATTTTCAGTTGATTGACAGCAATAATCCACATTTAGATGGATTTCCACAATTGACAATATTTGATTTTAAACAGTTAGCTCTACCAACTCAAACAGGCTAGATCTAATTATGGGGAACACATACGTCGGACTATTATTTATTTAGTTAAGGTGAATAATACTATCGACGATGATGTAACTTAGGTAGGATTAAATCTAGACATGTCAACAGTCGTACTTTTCACACGTATTTATTGATTAGTAGAGATGATGCTGTGGCCAACACTTTAAAAACCATAGTAGGTTATTGCTTCAGTTGCCTTGTAAGCGAACAGTAGGCTTCTGTACTCATATAATAACGATAGCATGGTATTTGAGCTGAGGACGTTGTAGTGAAGTAATTATTTTTTTTCAGGAGTATGATGAATGAGTAAAGTAAAATATATTTTAAATAAATGTTTTTGACCTTAAATTGCTATTAAAAAACCCATATGGACTTGTTTTATTTTTTCTATTACTTACCTAATTGATTCACAACATGAGCTTGAGAAAGTGTCTGTCATGAATAGTATCTTATCTTAGATGAAAGGGTTTAAGATGCTCTCTAGACTCAACGAGCGTTTTTTGAGGTCTGAGTGGTCATCCTTATGATAATAATGTATTATTGATATTGGTGTGGTAGTGTGATCGCGGTGGAGTCCAATTATATACATATTACCTTTACATACATTACCCACTCACAGTATTGGCAATATGTATAAAGGTGTTGCTATAACTCGTAATTCTTACTAATATAAATGGATTACGCTGTTTTTAGAGCAATAGTTTGTCCATGCTTAAAGTTTCTATTTAAAATAGGTCGTTGGTAGCATCGAAAAAGTGACGTAATAGTGTTTAGGTTATTTTCGATTTTATAAAATATCTAAAACCCGGGTTTTTTTTTCAAAAAGGACTTTTGTAGGAATTAATAGGATCAGTGTAGTCTATAAAAAACAAAGTTTGATTTTGATGCAACATGGTACGAGATTCCATACATCTATGGGCATTCTCCTTTAAAATATGATCGTTACGCGGTAAAACTATAGGGTGTCGTTAAGGTACCTCGAAAATTTGATGGTTTTTCTATTTAACATATTTTTTTTGAGTTTTATAGATTACAAACCAAAATTTTTGTATATGATTTTTGACTATATGGCCTTGGATTGCTTAAAAGGAAAACACGATATCATGTAATTTTCTCGGTAGAAAAAAAATGCAAAGTTGGCTCTAATTATTTACATTTCTCGATGACACAACAATATTCTTACAAATAATTTCATGAAATTATTTTGAAGGCATAGTAAAAAATCATATCTAAGTTCTCATAAACCAGTTTTTTTAATCCATAACGAAGTTTTGTTTAAATAAATAAAAATGTTGTTTGGCGCTTACTTAGTTTTTTTCCGAGCGCTTGCTCGGTATGGCTATCTCATAATTTGCGTACTATGAAGTCATTGCATCACTTTTATTTTGACACTCCCTCAGTCGTCCGTTAGCTTCACCGACAAAGAAATAAGCCACGCCCCCAAAACTTCGATTCATTTTCATGGTATCCTCTTAAGGTTATCCTCTTAAGGTTAAGGTTATCCTCTTAAGGTTATCCTTTATGGTATCCTCTTAAGGTTAAGGTGAACAATACTATCGACGATGATGTAACTTAAATGTGAGTTGGATAAGCCCATCCACTCTAATTCCCACAAACTCAATTCAGTAAAAATGGTTTTAAACGCTGAAAAGTGCGACCGCAAATCTAGCCTGATTGTAACCTTGTAATTTCATCGGCAAAGTGCAAACGTTGAAGCTCACGAATTAATGACTCGACATGATTATAATAGGCTACAATAATATACGGACGTCTCAACAAAAGCTTTACAAATTGGCAAACGTAAATGACTACGCAATATAAAACTACATATAAACAAAAATACTACAAACATGAATAAATATTGCATAATCACTTCCAAGACTACAAATACTTTATATTGTTACAATGACAAAAATGATTCAAATTTCACACAGCATCAGCGTATTGCTGTGGCGTAACTGAACCTACACACTTTATATGAAACACTAATAAGCTAAATATTAATTCTACTAGGGATAAAGCCTAATATTCAAATCACACACGAACGAACGCACCGATCGTTTCCATGCGAATCTCTGATTACGATACGCGCGGTACCTAGCAGCACAGTCATAGAATACTATAACACGCAATAGAATGGCTGTCAACCTTATTTCGTACCGAGGTTTGGCGTCGCCGGGAGCACATATACAAGCAATTACGTGGTATTATCAGTTAATCACTACTAGAAACCCGATTCGCTGTGTTGACAGACTGATTTTAATACATATTTATTTGTAAATAGCATGAAGGTTAGAGAACAGGAGAACGATCACCGTAGAAAATAGTGTCCAGAAATATGTACACCATAAGTGAGGCGCTGCGATCGCTCGAGGGTCAGTCAATAATAGTCATTTTGAGTCTATTTTTCCGATCAGATGCTAAACCACTTGCACATCCACGCACAATAAAATATTTCTCCATTTTTTAATGTTTCTTTTTGTCAAGAATTACAAAATTACGGAGCATGAAAATTTTCTCATTAAAAATGAAATGAAAATTTGTACATTATTCAACTAACTTCATCTACTTGTACTCATAAACAGCTAACTTCGCAGTTACTACTCACTGACGTCAGCGCCGCTATACATTCTACAATTTTCAAGGACAGGCGGGCTATGCTTTAGTACGTAGTGTACGTTCTCCTGTTCTCTAACCTTCATGGTAAATAGCGTGCAATTTGGCATTTTCTAAATAATCTGCATGCGAAATTTGGAAACGATTGTAACGTCAAAACACATCTCGTGTTGACATTTATACGTTTGAATTGACGTCTTGTGGCATTTTCGTGGCTACACGGGCTCCGCCCACACCCCCGTTATATTATGTATGTATTATAGTATTCTATGAGCACTGTAGTTAAAACGCGGTTAATCTCTCTCACGGTCAACAGTGAGCACAAAGTAACCTCGCTCGAGCGCGCATTAGAAGCGTTGACTTTGGTGGATGAGGCCTCACTCTCAGACTTGCTTAACGCGGATGTGGTACCTCTCAAAATCTCAAAAAGGTAGACTCTCAAAATGCAACAATGTGTGATGTCTGTTGTGGCATTTATTACATACTGAACTAGAGGTAAAATTAGCAAAGCGATGCTTGTTACTTAAAAAATTTAAACATAAATTGTTAGCTTTTACTTATTTTACATTTTACGTAATTATACAGATTACTGTGTTGGTTATTTTTACATAAATATAAGGCGTTATGAGAAAATGAAGGTGCGGTGTTAACGTACGTCAGGGATCTCGCCAGCCTCGATGAAGCGTCCGTTTGATGGTCGGCGCATTTTTTTTGTTACCTGTTTGGCAATTGATCAACGCTACATCACCTTAATTTGGTCAGCGCGGCAGACATTTCCTCACCGTAAACCCTTTAAAAATGAGAGGAGTTTTGTGCCCAGACGTGGGTCGTATGTAGACTGTAACTTGCCTTTTACTTTCTAAGGATAAAATGTTTTGTAGGATAAGTTCTTTTTATTCTCTTTTTGTCATCAGCTCATAACATCTACTGTTGGACACGGGTTTTAGTAGAACAAGTAAATTAGTTTTATTTAGCATAGCTAGATACATACATACACACATACACGTGTGTGTTTGTGTGTTTAATTAATTTCAGTACCTGCTTCGTAAATGTAGAAACAGCGTAAACAGACTACTTTGACCGATCGTCTCGATGAAAGAATCTGAGCGTAGTAATTACGACAGATATTATACTGTTACACCGATTATACCGTTAAACTAGCCATTAATTGGCGGTGCAATAATTTCCTTTTACCCATATCATCCCGTGAGTGTTGTAAGTGACAACATAAGAGATCTGAACCAGGAGGTGACCAACAGCATTTTTCCGGCAACAGATAAAAATAAAAAGCTGCGGTTGCAAACCCCTTTGGCAAGCGTGGCAACTGTGGCAACTGCGGCATAAATCCCAACTCTTAGCTAATCCATGGGAAGGTCTATGTTCAGAAGTGGCCTTTTAAAAGGTTGTAATGGTAACATCAATATATTTGAATTTGTGGCCCCCGAATAATATGTCCATTAATCATCATCATCATCATTACAGTCCATCACAAGTCCACTGCTGAACATAATCCTCCTCCAAGGAATGCCACAAAGCACGGTCCTGAGCCACCTGCATCCATCGACTTCCTGCATGTCTAACCAGTTCATTATGCCATCTAGTGGGGGTTGCCCTACACTACGCCTACCGGTACGAGGCTGCCACTCGAGAACATTTTTTCCCCAACGGTTTTCGGTTCTTCGAGTTGTATGTGCGACCATTTTCCACAGAATATCAGCGTTAAATATTAGCTTAATGCTGCTGCGTTTCGTATGGTTAGTGTAGAGAACCGGAGACCCTTTTTACTGGAAATGAGGCATTCCACCTAAGTCCTCACTGGTGACAACGCATCTGCATTTTGATTCGTAATCGAGGATAGATGTCTATGGGCCACAGAAACCACTTACCATCAGGTGGACTGTGTGCTCGTTTGTCACCCTATCCTAAAAAAAATATGATTAAAACTACTTTTACGGATTTTATCGCGTTTATTTTTACTATATTTTTACTATATATCGCGTTTATTTTAAATATAAGAAATAACTAAAAAAATACTATATATATATATATATATATATAAATATAAAGTACGTGTCACGTCGTTTTTCCGCGATGGACTCCTAAACTCCTAAACTCCTAAACTTTAACCGATTTTAATCAAATTTGCACACCGTGTGCAGTTTGGTCCAACTTGAGAGATAGGATAGTTTTTTGCCCATGAGTGACCCAGAATTTTGTATTTGCGAATTTAAGGATTTTTAATAGGACATGCCAAAGGGTCGTCTGCCTGTCAAGGTAGTATATATATATATATATATATATATATATATATATATATATATATATATATATATATATATATATATATATATATATATATACTGAGGATACCTTCATTTCTAA